ATTTTTACAATTTTTCATTACTAATTATGTAACAATAACAACAACTATTAAATAACATTAACATCTAGACTAACGAATTGCACTAAATCAAGTGTTGGAAATGACCTCCTTCGACTTCAATACAACCGTCTAGCCGCCGCATCATTGAACACGATTGAACATGAAATGCTCCGGGGCGACTTCATTGATTCCAGTGGTGCATCGGTATTTGTAGAGTAGGTAGGATGAGTGTAGGCCCACAGCACTCAGACCACATGTGACCCATTGTACATCCTCCCGAGGAGTTGTCCTCCTAGGTCATCGTCCATCCTGTCCTTTCCAGGAAGGTGGACAGGTCACTAGAGGACATCTCCTTTATATTGGCAGGTGAAGGCCAAGACTCGCCGAACACACACTCTCTTTGGCAACCTTGAGGTGTCTAACGGTGGCTTCCGCGAAGGTTTTGGAAGGTGCAGCGACAATACTGTCGTTGCGCGGCTTCTTCAACCTTCTTGAAATTCCCTTCGTGGAGGTGCACAAGTGAGGGAGCTTTCCTGCAGGGGCAGCCGGTTCCTTGCCTTTATTCAAGGCAGAGCTCTTGGCGTCCGCCGCAGGAAGTGCCCTTGCTTTTAGAGGGGGAGTGGGGGAGGAATGGGGTGCACTTATAGTTGCTGCCACTCCTGCCTCCTTTGCTCTCTTTCTCCTTTTGGCCTCGGCGCCGCAAATGCGATTACGCCTTGGCCTTTGTATTACATCACGAGGTGATCTGCTATGTCCAGCCTCATTCCAAGCGGTAGATTGGGGTTGACATTTCTGTTCATCCTCACTTCTGTTCAGCCTCGGGATTAATTTTTGTTGTGTCTGTTTTTGTGTTTGTTTCATTCATGTGTGTTCCAACGAGTAGTAAGGGAAGAGTTGGTCACCTCTGACAGAGCCCCGTATTACCAGAAGTAGGTTGATTACAATGAGGTTTCGCACCGCTTTCTTTAGGGGATCGTTCGTAACCGAATATCAACCTGCGGTCATTCAGCTGTCGGCACGATTCCTTACACCTTAGCTTGGGTAGGCTGGTCCACGGAGGCATGTTATGCAAAGGCTTTTGGGGTGTTTAAGTTCCCATCACCTTACTTATTTCTACCACTGACCAGGAGTCCGGCGATCCCGTCCGTAAGGCCACATTGGCTTCCCGGATAAGGCCTCCAGCCTCCAGTCCCCTGGCCGTTCCCCTATCTGCCACCTGGGGACGCGCCTATAGCCTATCGACAATTAATGTTGTAACATACAAAACAAGTTGACAAGGCATTTTAAACTAACGTTGCCACGGAAATTATTTACAGTTTTTTAAAGGATATCATCTAAAAAGAACAATGCTATGGTGTTTGCTTGCTTTCTTGCTTTTCAATACCTCAACATGAAATAAGTTTTGAGTATATTGCAATAAGTTTTGTGGGTATTTTATCGAATGTCAGTAACCACATGATTTTAAATTATTTTATCTTAATTGTTGCAATAAACTTAAAAGCGATAACATTTTTAAATAGAACATGAAGATACCTTTCAAACGATATGTCAAATTGGGGATTGTACCTATTATTCGACGAGGGTTGGAGGTAGGGGTAGCATTTTTCCGTTGAAGTATGTCAAATTATAATTTGAATTTGACGTGTTTCGGTATTTTGTTAAAATATGTACCGTAACCGAAATCAATATATACCAGAGGCAGATATAGCTACATACGTGATATCCGGGTCCAGGAAATAATTCAACCCAACAAAGCAGTAAAAAGTATTTGAACTCAGTTATATTTTTTGAAATCGGAATGAATTTTATTGCTATAATCCTTTCTTCAGAGGTATGGAGCCCCTCTTTATCATGCATTCATATGACCCAAGTAGGTAACAGAGTTTTTGAATAAAAAACATATTTCCTTCTTTACTTTCAATGTTTGTTTCAGCTCTGAAGATCCATCAACTTGTGCTTCTGAAGTCACAGAAGTTATTCTATCATCCTTGGATGCATATAAAGGGCTCTATGCAAAAAGTCCTTAAGTGACTTTTTCTTGTATTGAGATACGGAAGATTGAAAGTTTCAATTTTTGCTAGAAAAAAAGTGGTTAGAGTTTTAAAATTTTTAACTTTTATCAGAGATTAAACATGTATTTAGGTATTNCTACTCTCTATCGATTGTTTTTGTTTCATTGGTTTCAGGCACCAAACGTCGCATCGATCAGCAACTGACATCAACTTTGCGAAAGAAAAAGTACGTATATTACGTTCTTGAGCAATCAAAACAATTAAATTTTAGTGCGAATTACAATGAAGTTTCTCTACAAAGAAGAACATCCATTTGAAAAAAGGAAACTGGAAGGAGAAAAAATAAGAAGGAAGTATCCTGACAGGGTACCAGTGAGTATTTTAACTATTTTCATGTATAGGGTCCTGTTCAGAACAAAGAAATGATTTTAGCTGATAATTTGAAATTATATCGAAATACAGTTGTTTGTATGTCTAGTGCGTAGAAGTATTTTTAGATTTTGAAAATTCTTGAATGTCTTACGGTTGCAGTAAAATGACGTAAATAACTTTGTTTTATTTACGTCCCTTTCTGTGCAAATGGCGACTGAGGGAAGGTCATTTGATTTGATCTTCCTCTTTTCATTTGTCAATCGTCGGGGACAAAAGCGCTTTAAATCGGAGATTGCGGAAACCCTCTTCTATCGAATTTTTTTAAATATCTAAAGGTTTTTTTGTTGGAAATCGAGCAAAATGTCTATTTCAATCATAAACTATTTCACCATCTTTAAATACCAGTTCTTCCTTATAATGTCAATATATACAGCTGATTTTTTGTAACGAATGCAGTTCCCTTTTTTCAATTGCTTTAGAGTCTGATCTTTTATAGAAAAAAATCCTATCCCCCCTCATTGAGGGAAAAATATATTTTAGCACTGGTTTTTAAAAGAATACAAAATCAATATCAAAGGACTTTTATTGTACTATTTTCTCTTAATAAAAATTGCTGGCGATTCACAATGAAATATTCTGAACATAAAGCAACTCTCCTTTTTATTTTTGTTGCTTTTGATGGATCACTAACTACTAGTTCATAATGGTTACACAAAAATTGTTGATCCTTCTGTAGATTCTTGTTTCTTACTGTTACTGAAATTGAGCCAAAATATGAAATATCAGTGCAATCTTTTGAAAAAAAGTATTGAATTTGTGTTGCCATTAATGAGAACAGGGACTTTCAGTAAAGATTAGATTAAAAAAAAATTCAAACACCTGATCTCTGAAATGAAAATTCTAGACTCATCTCTAACCGTTGAGGATATAGTCATAACTAACTTTTTTAATGTAATAATTTGAAATCTATGTCTAGTTGAGTGAATTATCAATCAACCTTAATGTTATTACCATTAGTCATATTCTGATTGGGAAACTAATTCTATGACATTTATCTTGAACTTCTCAATTCTATGTATATTTAAAGACACCTCAGTAAAATCTGACAACCAATATACACTGCACTAATCATATTCAGCAGTAGAAGTGTTTTATGTCTCGTGGCGTACTTGTGATTTTCACTCGTATGCTTCTTTTCATCCAGTAACAAGAGTTTACTGAACTTAAATTCTTGATTGATTTTTGATTCCTTGTCAATTCAGGGCAGATCATATCAGAACAGCACATTAAAGCTGTCTGGTGACTTATAAAATCTATTGAGCATGAATCGATACTTCACATTGATACTTCACATTGATCTGGCTGCTACTCCTAATCACTAAGACATTTAATAACTCAGATGAACCTCTTGATGAATGTTCAGATAACCAGTTGATAATAATTAGTTCTATTCAGCCTACATGAATTCTATGACAATTTCAACTCACTATGACTGACTATTATAGTTATAGAAGTTGTTTGTATATTTTTTTGATGTTTTTTAATGGTTATTGCTTGCTATTGATATATTGCTTTTTACATGTATTCATTTTGTCTATGTATTATCCTATTTGTCATTTTTCATTTATATTTTCTGCAATGCTTTGTCAATAAGAGTACATTCTTGAGACAACGTATATTTTGAATTGAATTGAAAATTTCAGAACCAAATTCCATCAACTTATTTTTTTACTACTCATTCAATACATGTGAAATGGGGTTATTCAAAAACACTAATTTTCCATTAAAATTACAATATCGCGGAATCGACTGCATTTTGGTGTGGATAACCTTAATGAAAGTCCTCTTAGAAAGTAGAAATAATCGAAGAATTCAAAAATGAAATGGAAAAGGGGGTTTTCTGGTAGTTCAGATCATATATATGGAAGGGGGGTAATGGAAGTAATTCCACCTCCGACATCAACATTCAATACTGAAATGAAAGGTAGAACTAGAACCTGTGGCGTAGAATAAGTCTAAAACAAGCACTGTTCCCAAACACCAGAATTGCAACATTCTTGCGCTTTTCACCAAACAAGTTGGAGTCTTCGGAGATGAAGTACAATAACTCACAACTTTAAAACTGGTCTAACAGGGTACACTTTCACTTTCTGAATGATTTCGGGAAGAAATTCACGGGAAGTTTTCTCGTAAAAAATACCCCTTTTTGTAACAGAGCGATTCATATAAAGATGAACGATGGACTCTCTGGAATGGGACCTTCGTCACTGTTCATGGTTCTCGTGGCACACTTTGCTTTTTCCAGACTTTCAAAAACATAAAAAAAATCTAGTATCGCCGATCTCAACAATTTCAGACAGTTTTCATTTATTCTCCAAGGTGTGTTGAGTGACTAGAATTTTCTGGTCTGTGAAATCGGATATTTGCTATGTGTTCTTTGAAATGAGTTTAAATAGCTTGCTCACTCTAACCAATGTATTTTCATCAACATTTTTCAACATCTTGTCTTTAAAGATGTTTTGAAAGCTACTTTTACGTTCAAATTTTTTGAAAATTCAGTTCAATCTGTTTGTGTATCTTGGTTTTTATGGAATTTTGAATCAATGTCTTCTTGAAAAGTCAAAGATTTACTAAAATTCTTCCATAATTTACGTTTCCTCATTAACATATCTACTATATTTGATGTTTACCCATTGCTTTCAGTTATGTGCCTGATAGCATTTTTCTCAATATCGTATCTTTCCTAACCCAAGGAAAACATAACAAGCCTATGGACAAGAAAGTTTGGTAATGCCATTTTGTGCTGTGGAAAATGGTGTGAGCTGGTATTTTTCCTATACACATCAAATTCTAGACTCTGGCTGCTACTCCTAATCACTAAGACATTTAAGAAAAGTAACTCTCCGTTGTTTTCGATTACATATGTAAGCTTAATGTTTGGGGACCTGTTGTTGAGAGTTGAAAGTCTTCTCTCTACCTTGAATTTTTTTGTGTCAGAAATCGAAAATATATCATCTCCATATCGTATCCAAGTCCGTGGAAAGTATTCTAACTTTTCTTTTGGCTTCCAATTCAGATATGCTCATGAACAGATTAGCAATAAAGGGGGACAGTGGGTTCCCATTGCGAAGCCTTCGTACTGTCTGCGTGACTATAAACAGTTGTTCAATTGGAAAGGATTCTGCTTCTTTGCAGATTTTTGGTAGTTGTACGTAGTCTTCGATTACTCCGCCACTGAGACAGTTGACTCTCGGAAGATCCCTGAAATATTCAATAGTTGTTGGTATATAGACACTTGGAATAATAATAATTGTAATTCTCTCAGTAATTCAATACTTCATCATAATTTTTAATATTTTGACTGAACTTGCTAGTAGAGGAATTCGTTTATAATTTTTTCATCTCCTGATTCAAAAATTTTATTGATAAGATGAACTGATAAATGAATTGTGTTGGTATTTTGGATTCATTAGAATTAGGTAATATTTTTTCGACAAAATTTTGTCATTTCATTTTGGTTTTTTATTGTATATTTTGTTTATACTATGAATTGAAATTTTTCAATTTCCTCCTTACAATATTTTATTTTACCTTTCAGCAAACCCTTTTTTGATATCCATATCATGGGTGTGCATAAAAAACTATTTCGCCATCTTCGGCGTTTCACTATATTGAATGTAGAATAATTTTACTTAAAACCATACATTCATTCATTGCCATCCAAACTTAACGTGTATGCAGAAATTCATTCCAATCCATGAGGATAATTACTTTGAAATTCAATTGCAAGATTCGACCCTATCAAATATAAATACTAACATTGCAAGAAATGAAAGGTTGTGAAATAATAATTAATGGTGACCAATAATATGAAAAAAAAAATCATTAAAAAATCAATACATGATATTGTATTTCCTTGTAAAATAATTTTATTGTTTTTCTTTGCTTGGTAGGTAATTGTTGAGAAAGCACCGAAAGCAAGGATTGGTGATGTTGACAAGAAAAAATACTTGGTACCATCTGATTTGACAGTTGGACAGTTTTATTTTCTTATCAGAAAAAGGATTCATTTGAGGCCTGAAGACGCATTATTCTTTTTTGTGAATAATGTAATTCCACCTACATCTGCAACTATGGGTTCTCTGTATCAGGTAATTGAACTATTGAATTTTCAGTTTCTCACATAAATCGTCTATTCAATGCCATAACAAGACAGTTCGAAGGAAAATTTTAATACCATAATAAATGGTATTCAATATTTTATTAAAATATTCCAGTTTTTATATCTTACAACCATAATATGCTAAAAATTAATTTTTTTTCAGGAGCATCACGAAGAGGATTTCTTCCTGTATATAGCATACTCTGATGAAAACGTATATGGTTCCGAAGAGTAATTTTCTTTTCAATTAACTTCAATGTATCAAATTTCGGTTCATATAAATGATTGGTTATTTTAAATATTTAAATGTATAATTTGGAGATATTGTCAAGTATTTCTTGATTGAAAGTATCTAGTTTTTATTAAAGGGCTCTGACTTGAATTGGGTTATTATGATATAAGTGCACATATTATTTTGAGTGTGTTAACAAATAGGTTAGGTAGGTTAAATCAAAAAAACATATTGGATAATGAAACTAGTAGGTGTTAGTTCATGTGATCTAAGAATGAAATTGGTTAAAAATAAATAATTACCTTCACAAACTTTCTGGAGTATGTTATATCTCCTAACTCTCCAAATAATGACAACTGGAAAATTTTTAAAATCTCTACCTATACTATGAAATTCAATGTAATAATTAGCTGTCTCATTCCACTCTACTATGAGGTTTGCAAGTTTACATTGAAATTTAGATAAGTAGGTAGCATCTACACATTTTGTCATACTATAAATCAAATCAGTAGTTGGAAAACTGTAGTCAACTACCGAGATTAGCTGAGAGATTCATTGTTTTTCAATTGCTACATTGTGGAAACAAGCTAAAGATGCTATTTGCCACTTTTATAAGATATACAAAAGAAGACAACTATTCTACATGTTTTTGAAACAAAAATGGTTTGCCATTCAAACCCTTCACTCAAAGCACCAATACATTTGGAGCGATATAGGAATGTAGGCTTTTGTGGCTGGCGTTAATGTTTCTGGAGCGATATTATCTGATAACTATTCTGTACTCCATTAGGTAAGAGATCATTGGGACCAAGAATTGTGTAAACTACTTATTGGTTCTTGAAAACATACAGATTACGATTTGAGCAAGACTAAGGTGGTTCATTCTGTGAAGGAATAAATAAGTAAATGAATAAAAATATTTGACGATATTTATACCCCAAAGCAAGTCAAAATATTTTTAAACATTAACAATTAATATAATTTAAAAAAATTAGAAAAAGAGATCATATTTCATTAGAGCTGAAACTTGCAGACAAATATTTTTTGTCAACATCTGAATATATTGAATCATCATGAGTTCTTGTCAATAAACATGAAATAATTCAAATCTACAATTATTTTCAGAGTTCTTATGCATCTCCAAAAAAATATGTAACTGATATAGAAAATCTTCAATGATTTTTGAAGAGTTCTCATGTATTTCCATAAAAAACATATTCATCAGAGGTATATGGAAACAAGATTTTGGCTCGTTCATAATTAAGTTGTTATTCCTGAATACATCTAGAACCATACATCTGGAAATTATAAAGAACTCTCTTGTAGTCGATCACATCATGCCCTTCTGCAAGTATATAAATGAACCCAGTTTTCTTACCTCTACCTAGGTTTGAAAATTCAGTAATTGAATTTTTAATAGATATGTGAGATTCATACAGACAATTTACCCATTATTAAATATTTGCAAGGCGTCAAGAAAATCTGTCGGGGAGTTGGCTACATAGTTGAAAATAGCTTGGTTCAAGTATTTTGTATATAGTTTTTTGAACTCATTTTCACTTATTTTGTTACGAATAATGCCTTCTCAATATTTGTACTTCTCTGTCTGAGCAAGAACTTTTAGGTCTTTGGTTATTTCAATATTTGATTCAGTAGTATATTGTTGAGAAACGGCAATTCCATTTCGAAAAATGTTGTAGAATGCACTATCGAAAAAGTTGAAAAAATTGTTATACACTAAAGTTTGAAGTCAATCATCTTAACAAAGATTTGATTTTTTGTACTCAGAAAATTTTGAAATAACATTTACGAGTTATAAGAACCAAATATCAAATTCTCATGTTGAAAAATATAATTTGGAAATGATAAAATAGTTTATAAAATGTTCAATAAAGATTATTTGAACATACACATTGATATTTCCATAGTAATTATCAAATGAGGTTAGAATGGACAGATAAACCTGCAAAGATCATCAAGGTTATCAAAATATATTTAAAAAATGGTTAATTCCGGGTAGATATTTCTTTCGTTAACCTTTATCATTTTATAAATGACGTAACCGTATTGTGTTGACATTGAGTTGACATGTGATGCACTGTTTGGAATCTGTGGTGTAGTAATTAATAATACTGGAGTTTTATCTCAACACCAAACCGTTATTTTAACACCTCGACACGTGTCGACAAAACTTTTGAAACAGCCTAACACATTATCTTGAATCAAAGAAACATACAATAGTTTACAGTCTATTTACGACTGTAATGCCAAAGGCAGTCCTTTGTTGATTTTTGGTCCCTAAATGCGAAAATGATAGTTAAAATTTCCGAACACGTAAGATTTTTGAGTTATGATTTTTTTTCACAAAAATTTAATGAACACGACATTCCAAATTTGCTTTCCCCCTAAATTGAGCAAATTGTTTAAAATCTGGCAACAGCGCCTAAAACAAGTTTAAAAGCCGTTCTGCTTCATAATGGTAACAACCCTTAGTTAGGGAAGCTCTTGATTATACTGTAGACGACCCCTTCCGATATAGAAGGTTCCGACACTCTGTCGAATGAGGCCCTCATGTCCCCCCGTTAACGGATGAACAAATTTTTCATCCATCCCACCCCAGCCAGGTAGGGGTACATGTCTGAGGACTTTCATACCGCCACCACCTCTTAGTCATGTCCTGATAAAAATCAGCTACAAGGGTAAGGGACTTAGGCTCCAACCTGATTGAAGTGAAGATGGCTGTCGATGATGGTAACAAAAGATTCTCTATTCCTCTTGCACATGTAGTTGCTATGAAGGAAACACATGAAAGTATGTCACTTATTCTAAGTGCAATAAGTTATAATACGTATAAGTGGCAAATATGTGGTGACCTAAAAGTCATAGGAGTATTAATAGGTCTTCAGTGCGCATTTACGAAGTTTTGCTGTTTTATTTGCCTTTGGAACAGGCCAAGCTAACGTGATGAATATATCTCTTGTTAATCCCAAAAACGTTTTGTTATTTCCATTACACATCAAACTGGGTTCAATGAAAAAATTTTGTAAAAGCATTAGACAAAGAGGGTGATGCGTTTGAATATCTTGAACACGTTTTTCCAAAATTAAGTGATGCAAAGCTCAAGTAAGGTATATTTGTTGGACCACAAATTAGAAAACTACTAAGTGATCAACAGTTTGATCAAAAATTAAGTAATGTTGAATTAGCTGCGTGGAGTTCTTTCAAAAGAATTGTTTCGGAGTTTTTAGGGAACAAGAAAGTAGAAAATTACGAAACACTTGTAGAAGAAAACTACTGCATAATGGGATGTCGTATGTTTCTNCAAAAATTTCATAATTCTTTTTCAGATGGTTTTCAATTTTATTAGGAATTTCTTCTTTTTTTGTTTCTTTTTTGTCTTTAGGGTTACATTCAACAAATTGTAATTTACATAAACAAAAATTCAACATAATTAATGCGTTACGGCAAATGAGCGGAGGTCCACCGTTTCGTACAACATAGGTTTTGAGAACATACGAATCCTCTTTAAATATAACATTAAAATTTGCAGAGCCTAATGGTTCAAATGTCATACCCACTAGAAAACAAAAATGTACTGAAATTAAAATCAAAAGAAATACTCTGATCCCTTTTCACAACTAACCGTTCAGTTGTGGGTGGTAAGATACTGAAGAAAAAAGAGTAAAATTTATCAGAACTCATAACTTTCGAAAAGAAGCGGTCAACTTGAATATTCAATAACTATATAATTGGAAATATGATCAGACTTTAATTTCCAGTTTCCACTTCGAAAATGAATCAACTATTGACTTTTCAATATCACATTCAACAGCTAACCTAATCATCTTGTTTCAAAAGTAACCAACAAACATATAAACATATAAGTGACCGCTGTCAAAAATTTTGGCTGGTAGCGGCCAAGAAGTGGTTATTTTTGGAATATTTCTTAAGTAATCTACTCTTTATAGGTAGTACATTTTCAAGGTCATAGATTTTTTACGCGCTCTTTAGTGAACTCTGTAATTTGCAATCTACAAACCTGCAACACTGCCTACTCTCTATCGATTGTTTTTGTTTCATTGGTTTCAGGCACCAAACGTCGCATCGATCAGCAACTGACATCAACTTTGCGAAAGAAAAAGTACGTATATTACGTTCTTGAGCAATCAAAACAATTAAATTTTAGTGCGAATTACAATGAAGTTTCTCTACAAAGAAGAACATCCATTTGAAAAAAGGAAACTGGAAGGAGAAAAAATAAGAAGGAAGTATCCTGACAGGGTACCAGTGAGTATTTTAACTATTTTCATGTATAGGGTCCTGTTCAGAACAAAGAAATGATTTTAGCTGATAATTTGAAATTATATCGAAATACAGTTGTTTGTATGTCTAGTGCCTAGAAGTATTTTTAGATTTTGAAAATTCTTGAATGTCTTACGGTTGCAGTAAAATGACGTAAATAACTTTGTTTTATTTACGTCCCTTTCTGTGCAAATGGCGACTGAGGGAAGGTCATTTGATTTGATCTTCCTCTTTTCATTTGTCAATCGTCGGGGACAAAAGCGCTTTAAATCGGAGATTGCGGAAACCCTCTTCTATCGAATTTTTTTTAAATATCTAAAGGTTTTTTTGTTGGAAATCGAGCAAAATGTCTATTTCAATCATAAACTATTTCACCATCTTTAAATACCAGTTCTTCCTTATAATGTCAATATATACAGCTGATTTTTTGTAACGAATGCAGTTCCCTTTTTTCAATTGCTTTAGAGTCTGATCTTTTATAGAAAAAAATCCTATCCCCCCTCATTGAGGGAAAAATATATTTTAGCACTGGTTTTTAAAAGAATACAAAATCAATATCAAAGGACTTTTATTGTACTATTTTCTCTTAATAAAAATTGCTGGCTGTTTCTTTTACAATAAATATTTTATTAAGTTTTAAATGAGTTCTTTTATTATTTGGATGAATGAATGAATGGGTGAAACAGCAAATAAAAATCCTCTCGTTAATAGCCAAGCGAGTACTGAGTTGCGACAGTATGACAGGGAAAATAAAACAATATGACCTTATTTTGTGTTTTATTAAATTAATATATCTTTCAGTGTTTGGACAAAAAATATTCTATATACTAACGAAGCCTAGTTTCTGACCTACGTACCAATTGAATATACCAAAAATTTATTATAATTCAGCTCTATGATCTGAAAAATGATTTTGCAATAATACAATACAATAAAACATATCACGATAGTTGGAACAAAAATACAAATCTAGACTAAGTATATACAATTTACAAAAACAATTTCATGAGGTTTGTTATTATAAATTCAATCTAACTCAAAGGTACTATTGGTGGGCAGATATTAATCAATCCACAACACACAGTCACTATTTTATCCAAAATCGTATCATCTTCATCACAAGGCTAAATGCGCCTATAGGGAAGCAAAGGCCAAAAACTTTGAGTGAAGTGAAGTGAATCTTCATCACAAACAAGCAGAGAAATTGGCACAATATGATTGAATCCTATATTTTTGACGAATGCAACCTATTACTCTTTTAACATGAATCCTGACATGTGCAATGGCTCTAGTTCCTTCAAATTTCTAATTCAATTGGATGCAACTGCTTCTTTCCTTTAGTAAAAGCAAAAATTCGCTAGGTATTTTGTCGAAGTTCACTGATCACGATCCTCACAGCTTCCGCAATTTACAACACAACACGTTATAGGCATGATTTTATGTTATAAAGGACGATTGATATGTAAAATCAGCCTCAGACAACGAATTTAAGCAAGCAGTAACACAATCACCCACAAAGACAAGTTGATTATGAACTTTTTCTAGTTTTCTTTCCATTAGAATAAACATGTGTGCCTACAGGCGGCCATTTTGATTTAATTTTGACAGCATCTCGGACAGGTCTATTGCGCGTGGTCCAACTTCAAAAAATTTTACATGGAGACCTCATGGAGGTTTGAATTCAATATGGAACTACACAAGTACATAATGAATGTTAGTTTTTAAACATCTTGATCTAGATACCTTCATGATTTCTAAATGTATCAATGTCAGAACATCATTGAAATTCCCTATTATAATTTTTTTATATTGAAATGAAACTAGTGAATTTTCTATTGACGTAGATCAATTCAGGTAAACTTAACGTCACAGCTGTCAACAAATTCCGCTCCCACTCCACATCTAACCTAAAACTTAATCAACGTTCATTCATTTAATTCAGTTACCTGAGATAATGATTAAAATTAATATAAATTCATAGTAATTTAAGGAAGCTTCATATTCCAAACTAAACGCGGACAAGCTTCTATTCCAGTAGTAATAATCACTTTGTAATCTGAAGTAACAATGGCAAATATTATAAAATTATCTGAAATCAATGATTATTTTCGTGACGATTTGAAATGCATACAAAGAGGTGAAGAACAGAGTCTTTCGTCTGGACATTTAGAAATGTGCAATTTTGATGCAGGATTGAAAATCATTAAGGGAAAAGTGAAAGCAAGCATGAGGAACTAGAGCTATGATATTGAGGTGAGTTTTTATTCATAACCAATAATTTATTCCAATCAAGGCAATTTAATAGAATGTAAATTCATTTTATCTATTGAGTGGGTTCGGAAGCATATTTATGGCAATTTTATGTAGGTATTTACCTATTAGTTTTGTTCTGGTTCAGACAGAATGGTACTAGAATATATGGAAAGTACATAGTTGCATAGTCCTTTTTGTGAATGAATCAAGCGTCTTTGAATGATATACATGACATGTATATCAACAGAGACTATTTGTAAAATTTATTATTATATTTTTTTCTTAGAAGTATTGTAATTCCTATCTTCTACACATATTGTACATCAAATGATTCGTTTCAATGAAAGTATTTTTGAAAAATAATTTGGCATTTTTTTCCATATGTTGATTAGCAAACTTACAGAATTTTATTTTCAGGAAGCTGTGACTTGGAAAGGGTGAAACAAATTCAATGGGGTCGCCGAGCGAAATTAATGGGATTCAATCTTTTGAAAAACTAACAGAAACAAAGGTCGTGCTAACAGGACTATGGCTACATCCTTGTGGATTTTTGGGGGCTTCTCCAGATGGACTACTTTTTTCAGATGGAATAATTGAAGTCAAGTGTCCATATACCTTGAGGAACTGCACCTTGGCAGATAATTTGAAGAAAAGTGACATTTTATTCAGTGAAAATGGTGAATATATTGTCAATAAAGATAATAATTATTATGATCAAATTCAGGGGTAGCTACACATTACTGAAAGAGACTATTGTTACCTAGTTTTATGGACCACTGCTGATATTGCCATCAAGAAAATTGAAAAGGATAACAGTTGGGAAAAAATATCATATACTGAAAGAGTTTTATTTGAATGAATATCTCACTTATATAAGCTCATGTTGTATTGTATTTATTATTTTTTAATATATGCAAATGAATTTTGACATTGTTTACTGATATTATAAAATGTGATATTTCCTTATACTAAAAGTAAATCATTCTTCACAGTCATATTTATCACAGTCGTAATAATAATAATACAAGTACTTTATTGGTGAATACCAAACGGCCATCGACTAAATCTTCCAGCCAACACAATCATCACAGAAAAACATTAACTAGGACAATTTCTAAATATCAATATACCTACAGCACATTTGCTATTCATTTACTTGATGCAGTTACTGCTTGTTTTGTATTCTGAGATGAATGAGAAAACATGTAATTAATTGATTTGCTGATTTTGATATAAAAATTCATATTAGATATATTGTGAAATAATCATAAATTAATTCATATGCAGGAAGTATGTAACGAGTTGATATAATGGCAGTGAAATTGTTCAGCTCAATTTATTTCAACGCCAAAGCATATAAAGTTTGTATTCTCTTTATATTGACTTAGAGAAAAAAAGTTGAAAAATAGTTATATGAAAACCCAAATTAAATCACCTTTCATTTCAATACACATAACAAATATGAATTATTCAAACTATATTGTGTAGGACTAGAAAAATAAAACTGAAAAAAGTAAAATCTGCACAAATCAAAAAACAACTTTTTGATAATAAAAAATAAATCTATAAAAAAAAGTCATTCTATTAAAAATTAAAGACTCCGGAAAAGTAAAGACTTAACATTCAATAGCTTCTTAAAATAAGGTAAAATGAAAATTCATTTATTTTCCTCTACAATATTTTTAACTAAAGGGTTTTGTAAGTTAACAAGAGAACATATAACTTGAAATATTGCAGAACAAAATTTCTTCATGGAACCAGGAATTAAATTCTAAAATTTTTTATCCTAGCATTTTCCCGCTCTACGTGAATTCTGGCCCTTGCTATCTCTAATGTCCTCATGGAAACATGTTACTTACAAATGCTATAACGCCATTTGGGGTAACTCCCACCAATACTTTATAAGTATTTGCATGCTTATAATTGCCGTAAGTTTGTTTCTTCGTGTTTATATCCTTTGGACTTGTAATTTTGACCTCTGTACCGTCAATTATAAGCCTGCAGTTGGTAAATGATGAGAAAGAATTAGGGAGACATGTTTTAATTTTACATCTTGATGGGAGTTTCATCATGAACTCACTGTAAAGTGTTTTATGTATAAGGAGAACCCAAGTAAAAAAAATATTTGTAATGGTTGGGCTGCAATTGAATCGAGTGGCAAGATCTAAGTGGGGGAAATTCATTCTCAACATCATGAGAGTTATTTGTAGCTGATCCTCTAATATTATTCCTGAGACCTTCCACCCCAAGTAATAATTGAACTGAAATCCTGATAAATATTTCAAAAGTGAGGTGAAAATATCATTACTTGGTAAACCAGTATGCAGTTATATAGGATCAGGTTTGTTTTTAATATGTTTGTATGAAAAGGTTTGCCCTGCCACAGAAGGCATTGCAGAAGTTTCAATATGATCTTCATTTCCTTTCATGTGTTATTTCAGGGACTATCTGTGTGTGTGTAAGTAAAATGGGTTCATCTTTTCTCATATCCTCACTTTCTGCCCTTCCAACTCTTTTAGTATTTTCAGTAGGTACTTTCAAATCTCTTCTCTCTGTTGTGAGTGAAGATGGTAGGACCATTTATCTTTAACCCATCCTTGAAATGGCAACTACAGACACGGCTTGTGTCCGTAGGTTTTTTATCAGTCCGACTGGAAAAAATCATGAGCAAATAGAGTAATTGCAGAGGATACATCTATCAGTAATTTCATTCAAATTTTCAACACAAACCATGCTAAATTTTTTTATCCATATTTTTGCTTCTTTTTCATTCCTTGGAATTGCAAACATGTTGCAATTACTTGGATACTTATAGTTACATCCAGGAGCAAAACAATGCACCATTTTCATATTTTCGAAATAAAATTTTTCCAGCTCAACTTTCTCGGTATCAACACGTGAATTTTAAATATCCCGCTAACTTGGTTGCCTCACCAGTAATATACCACTCTTCAATCTAAGACATTCCATGAATTTTGCAATGCATTTTTATATTGACAAATTCATAGAAAATTATCCATATCCTTCAATTATTTTGTATCAAATAGGTAAAGGAAACTCCAATTCATCTTTTTTATGTAAAATCAGTTCTAAGGAATAAGATTGAATACTTGAAAAAAGGCGACAAAGTCGAAGAATTTTTAATCCCAAAAGATTTAAATAGGAAATTAAATGACAGGTTTCCGTGATGGACCTGAGTTCGAATTTCGCGCTCGAAAAATCTTAACCTAACTAATATTGTCTATTTCAAATAATTTTGCACAATAAAAACAAGTCAAGAAGAATAATATCTGTTCATAAAATTTCTTTATATTTGAAACTATTTTCTTTAACATATTATTCGAAAGTATACATTCAAAAGATAATCTGAAAGTGATTTTTCAATATGTCTCGAAAAGTAGACTGGGCTAAATATGTCTCTGATACAGAAAAAAATATAACCACTCAGGTTAGTAAGTGGCACAATATATTTATTTTTTCAAAATTGACATTAATTTTTGTTGATAGATACAAGCAGTTGATATTTCAAGCAGTGATGAACCAAATGAAAGAAAATCAGATAAAGATGATGATGCTCCAGAAGAATTCATCCCTGCAGAGGCCAGTCTCCTAGCAAAAATCATTCGCAAAGGATTGATAGAGAGCAAAAATGATATCGAAGTACAAAGAAAAGATCCAAAATCTCCGCTATACTCAGTGAAGTCATTTGAGGCTCTCAATTTGAATCCCAATCTTCTTAAAGGAGTGTATGAAATGGGATTCAACGCCCCTTCGAAAATTCAAGAGACTGCTCTACCAACTCTCCTTGCTGACCCCCCACAAAATTTGATAGCACAGTCTCAGTCAGGCACAGGCAAAACAGCAGCATTTGTCCTTGCCATGCTTAGCCGAGTTGATATTAATAAAAAGCATCCCCAGGTACTGTGCCTTTCTCCAACATATGAGTTAGCAATTCAAACGGGAGAGGTTGCTGCTCATATGGCAAAATTTTGCCCCGAAATTGAAATGAAATTCGCGGTTCGAGGGGAGGAAGTGCCTAGAAATACAAAATTGACGGAGCATATCATAATTGGTACGCCTGGTAAAGTTCTGGATTGGGCGCTCAAGTTCAGAGTTTTCGATTTGAAGAAAATTGATGTTTTTGTATTGGATGAGGCCGACGTGATGATTGCCACCCAGGGTCATCAAGACCAGTGCATAAAAATACACAAAAATTTGAGTCCTTCTTGTCAAATGATGTTTTTCTCTGCAACCTATGATCAAGAGGTCATGGATTTTGCAGAGCATATTGTCAAAAATCCTATTACCATTAGATTGAAAAGAGAGGAGGAAACCCTAGATAACATAGCACAGTACTACGTGAGGTGTCAAACACACCAAGATAAATACAATGCCCTTACAAATATTTATGGTACAGTGGGGGTTGGTCAGGCTATTATTTTTTGTCACACTCGAAAAACTGCATCTTGGCTATCTGAAAAAATGTCGAAAGATGGTCATGCTGTTGCAGTTCTATCTGGTGATTTAACAGTTGAACAGCGAATTAATGTCCTTGACAGGTTTAGACAAGGCAAAGAAAAAGTACTTATTACCACAAATGTTCTCTCAAGGGGAATTGATGTGGAACAAGTTACTATTGTTGTCAATTTCGACCTGCCTGTGGATCTAAAAGGAAAAGCAGACTGTGAAACATATCTGCATCGTATAGGGCGTACTGGTAGATTTGGAAAAAAAGGCATTGCTATCAATCTCGTAGATTCAGATCATGCTATGGAGATATGTAAGGCTATAGAAAACCATTTCGACAAAAAAATACGTTATTTAAATACAGAAGATTCAGATGAAATAGAAAAGATTGGAAATTAGAGATCTGATTTAATAATTTCTTTCTATATTTTGAAGTATGGTAATAATATAAGGAGTGTAAAACACTAATTGTTGTAAACATATTTAATAAAGTTACTTATGATGCATCTTTGTTTCATAAGCAATAGACCAATTATGAATGGTAGCTGATTCATTCATTTCATGGGGTAAATCCCATTACAGTAGAATTACGGAAAATATTCATCTATTCATAGATAAAAAATTAGGAATCTATAAGTATTGAAACAACTAAGACTAAGTTACAAAATCTTTGACGTACCATGCCTGGTATCCCGCCATCTGGTGGTTGAGTGCTCTGAGATAAAATTTTTCCCACAGAGTGAAGTATACAGAAGCTAAAATGTTGTCCGTCCATCCCACTCACTTCCGAGCGGTCTTCAACCTGTCGTTTGGCACTTGGGCGGGATTAATATCTAACCGCTTGCCTGATTCATTGTATGTAGTGTTTCCATGATAATTTCAAACATAATGTTCGTGTTCACAGATATTTTTACAGGCTACATGAATCAGTAGTAGAGTTAACTAAAGTTAGCTGCATCTTAATGGCCTTCAACTCAGGAAAAATTTCTAAATTCAAAGGACAATCTCTTGATAGAATTAATTTGCAAGGTACTGTCCACCTCTCATGTTTTCATTCTCATTCAATTTTTTTTTACTCGTTTTGTTTGTTGTTTTTTAATCCCCTGGCATTTAACACTTTTTGTGGAGTGCGTAGAATGTTTTGCTTGCCGAACTTCCTACAATCTTCAACTGTCAGTAGACAACCACAAATTCATTTTGTTCAATGGCTAGTACAGGGTGTTCCTGAATAGTCATGCTCATTTTGTTGTAACGCTAAACTAGCCGTTACAAGAAGAGAAGGAAACAGCTATTTGTAGAACTAGAGCTGTGGACGACACCTGGAAGGATAATAAGATCAAGGAAGACCAAGAGAAAGACCTATATTTTGGTTTAGTCATCGGATGGAAGAAAAGTAATCGAAGAGCATCGTAGCAGGAGGTAGCAGGTTATTTGCCCGTGGTTAAGTCCTACTGGGCACAATGGAACTCCCTTGACTTGGAAAACGGGGTTCTGAAGCGGGTGTTGAAGTCTGAAGACGGTGGAGAAGAAAGGCGCCAGACAGTGGTACCCGCAGGAACAGACGACGGAAGGTTCTCAAAAAAATCCATGATGGAGTCACTGGAGTACATCTGGGAGTAACGAAGACCCTCCAGAAAGTAAGACAACGGTTTTACTGGGTTAATTGTCAAGCCGACGTCAAGTACTGGTGCAGAAAGTGTGCTGTATGCGCTGCCAGTAAAGGACATCGGATACGACCGAAAGTTCCAATGCGCCAGTATAACGTAGGAAGTCCTTTTGAGAGAATCGTCATCGTCATCGACATCGCCGGCCCGTTCTGAGTCCGACCATGGGAACACATTCATCCTAGTAGCCATGGACTACTTCAGCAAGTGGGCAGAAGCCTATGTCCTGCCCAACCAGGAAGCCGTTACCGTCGCTGATGTCCTGGTAAAGAAATGGATATGTCGATTCGGTTTCCCATTGGAGCTGCATTCGGACCAGGGTAGGAATTTCGAGTCCAACTTGTTCCAAGAAATATGTAAACTGTTGGACATTCGAAAGACCAGAACCACAGCCTCACATCCACAGTACGATGGAATGGTGGAACGAATGAATAAGATCATAAACCGCCACTTATCCAAGGTAGTCTCTGACCATCAAAGAGACTGGGACCAATTCCTCCACCTGTTCCTGCTAGCTTATCGCTCGGCAGTGCACGAGTCAACCGGCCAAACCCCTGCCAGTATTATAATGGGCAGAGAGCTGTGGTTTCCTTGCGACCTGAAATTTGGGACGCCGCCAGAACAAGACACTGCGGGGGAAGACTATGTCAGCAAGCTTCGGTAGAGAATGGACGACATCTATGAACGAGTCCGTCTGAACATCCGGAATGCCAGCGATAGGATGAAGAAAGCTCATGACATCCGGGCGAATGCTGGAGGATTCGAAACCGGTGACCTAGTTTGGCTGTACAATCCTAAGCGACGCCGTGGGTTAATACCGAAGTTGTGGAACTTGTGGAAGGGTCCGTACAAAATCATGAAAAAAATTAATGACCTCGTCCACCGAATCCATAAGACACCTCGTGGAAAGCCTAGGGTCGTCCATTTTAATAGATTGGTTCCTTATGCTGAAATGACTTTCCAGAAATTCATGTCCTTATACTCGAACGGACAGAACGTCGTACATGGGGTAACCCAAGAAGAGCAACGAGAACCTTTCAAGGTTCCAGTTACCGTTACAAAAGGCCGGCTTCCCGTTCAGAGAGGGAGTATGAATTCAGAAAGCGAATCGAGCGGTAAACAAATAATTTGAACAGTGAAGATAAATTAGGCGTTAGTTGCTAAGTGTTGAATATAAATTATTTGACTGGGGTTCACTCTGTCAACAAAAGACATCTCAAAATCATGTTAATACATAAGTATTTCACCTGAAACAACACTACTTACTTGAGATAATTTTCTTTTATCCAACCTCGCTTTTCTTTCAACATCTTTATAAGTCTTTCGAACATTTTGTGCTGATAATGTCCCATGTTCTGCGAAGGAACGAAGTCAATATTGGTTTCATCCTCTAAAGAAGTAAGTTTGCCTGAAAATAATATGTATATTATCAAGTAGTTTTCACTAAACGCAAAATAGCTTTCAGTGGAGACCTGAAGTTTTCAGAGACTCGCTTGTTATAAAATATCTGCTGCAGACTTTCTGATACTTGATCTTCGAATCTGTGAGATCATCTCGCTTGATTGCAGCTAACCATAGGGCTCGTCACTTCCTGGATAACTCATTTTTATTAGTCAAAAACTTGTGTTTTGAAACTGTAGGTACAGAGTAAAACCCAATTTTATCCCTGTTGTTACGAGATCCACAGCAAAGCACAATGCACGTAATGGGCATTTCCCTTTAGTTAAAGCATTAATTATTAATTAAAATTTAAAAACACAACCGAAATACGCACAGAAGACCACAAAAAGAAACAATAACTACTATGGTCGCATATCATAAAATACAATGTTTGCCCTACGCCGCCATATTGCATTCGTTCTGGCAGGTCGCTGGATTGGTCTATTATATAGATCATATTAGTTAGGT